GAGACTGTATTAAGACTTTTTGAGGAGAGCACAAAAACCTATGGGTTGCCATCAAGAGCAAGATGTGATTATGGGATGGAGAATGTTCTTGTTGCCCAGTTCATGTTGGAAAGAAGAGGCTTAGACAGGGGAAGTATTATCACGGGATCGTCTGTTCACAATTGCCGGGTAGAATGAGCTCACAGGAATGTTTATGCTGGCGTCCTGTGTTTTTATGCAAAGTTATTTGATGAAATGGAAAAAAACTAGTATTCTTGACCCTTTAAATGAACTGCATCTGTTTTGTCTTCATTACATATACTTACCAAGAATCAATAAATCTCTTGAAGAACTTGTTGATCAAATGAATCAAAGGCCAGTGTCAACAGAGCATAATATGTCCCCTCTCAAGCTGTCAACGAGTGGCATGCTGCAAAGCATAAATTCTCAACACACTGCACTTACTGTAGATGAAATGGAACAGTATGGTGTTGACCCTGATGAATCAGTTACAGTGAGCGATGAAGACTACCAGGTACACATTGATCCACCAACCTTTGTGCTCACAGAAGATCAAAGGATGCAACTGCCAGATCCCCTTCAAAACGACCATAATCAAGGTCGGAACAATTACCTTAACAGTGTCGAGCTCATGACATTATTCCTTTTCAACGAGGAAGAAACTTAAGAATAGAAGTCACTGATGGAAAACCCAGTTGATGTGAGCTTTTATATCTGCTTGCAATTTTGAAAACTAGGATTTCTGTGTCAAATAATAAAAAACTTCGTTTGTTGCTGCTTTTTGGAGGAAAGATTTGAACTCAACCTAGATTTTGACTAGACCTTAGAGGAGGCAAAGTGTATTACCTTAAGTGCACTGAGTCAGGTTATTACAAAACAGTCATTTTTGTGTCCTTGGGACACTTTGCAAAATTGTATCCCATGATGAACAGAGGGAGAAGTCAGATGTATAAGAGTCACAATAGAAAACCTACTTTGAAAGATTAAAAAATCATCTTGTTAACACCCACACCCTCCTCCTCCCTGCAACCAACTTGCCTTTTGTACCCATTTTACAGTCACCATTCCATGCTTTCTAATGACAGGTCTGTAGTTCTTCATTCAAAGTGCACTCAATAGCTCCCACTTTCATTTTTCATTAACATTAAGAGTGGTAATGACCTGGATAAGTTGTTACACAGTTGCCTCTTTTAACTTCTTTCTGATTCCTTTGTTTGTTTGTTTGTTTGCCACAAAAAAACCCACACCAATGAACTAAAGTAGTGAACACCATCAGAATACGAGAATTGAAACCATTCGGGAATACATTTTACAGTTCATCAGCCTGAGTTCTATAGCCTATTTCCTGTACTAAGAGTGGGTATTTCTTCCATATAAAGAATTTCCCTGAAAAAAGAGAAAAATAATACCTGGGTTGATAACATAGACATTTTATTAAAGGAAAGTAATGACAAAGTTAAGTAACAAATACCGGGTATGAAAGTAAACTTTTGTTACCTCTTCCCATAGCTGTCACTAAAGTATTGAGGTACATGTTTCAATAAGGCTGGAGCAAACACTATTTAGAGATCTCACTTGAATACTTACAAAACTGATGCAAAGCACCATTACTAAACCCAACCAGTTGCAAAAGCTAAGTTGTTAAAATGGAAACCCAAGAATGAGCAAGAATATCCTAGATTGAAAACCATTTTCTGTCAGTTAACTGAAAACTGTTCAAACTCAACATGACCTGATGTTGTCATGAATAATAACATTATCATTGTTTAACATGGCTACTGAAACATTTGTGATTAACAACATCATGTTCAAGGGACAGATTTCTTTCAGTCAAACTTGACTTCAAGGTTCAAGCTGTTGTAATGTAAAAACCTTCAAAACAAACTGTCACCTTTCTATAAATTAACTCTTGACAAAGCATAAGTTTCAATTCAAACTTGTAATCCTCATTTCTGAAAAGAGCCTTTTGGTAGCAGAAAAAATAATGCTTAACTCTACAATAACATTATTGGAATCTGTTAAATAATTCCAAAGTATGGGCTACCAAAAGCATAGTCATACAGATTAAAAAGTATGTCATCTGAAGGAAGACTGACTGTGCTGCTTGGAGATGGGAGATGCAATGTATTAGTGCAAGTGTTTGAAGTAGGGAGGAAGCTCCCACTGCTGGATACAAATCTGATCTGCGGGGAAATGGAAAACCCCAATGCTGGCTCCTCATCTGCGCCACAAACAAATTGCAAAATGTGATTAAGGGTTAGGGTGGTGGATCCAGTAACCCTTC